TTGAAAAAATAATAAAACAAATCAAGAGTAAGATACATACTCATATTATTTCCCATAAACACATTTAGGCATTAAGTATTTAGATTTCACTATGTCGATCATGGTGTATTTAAGAACATATACATAAAATTACTCTAATTAAAAAACACAAAAGTAATCTCAAATTAAGAGAATAACAAAACTTTTGAAGGGTAGACAGTAGAGTAGAGTTGCAAATGATATTAACACAATAGTTTACCTTGTATCCAGAGTCACGTGCAATATCAATGATGCTTTTTCTTGTGATTCCTTCGAGAATAGTACCAACGGTTGCAGGAGTTGAAATAACATTTCCCTAATTAAATATATACAAAAATACGAATTAAAATCAAGTACCTATCAATCTCACACACACTTTGATATCAATTAAGAAAAGTAATTAAGTACCTTGACAAGGAACATATTACAAGAACTGGCCTCCTCAACATATTTTTTGTGGACTGAATCAAGGTATACTACATCCGAAAACCCTTGTTCCTTTGCTTTTGATATCGCTTGTAGTACCTTCATACACAACATACACGCATGAGTCACATTAATGTTTAAATAATTTATATCATGGAGGATTAATTAATCATCATCTTTAATTGATTAATATATATGTTGTGTTTTTACCGGGGCATAATTTGTAATACTCTTGACACCTCCTGCTCCACCACGAGTTGCACGATGAAACTCGTCATTAACATATAAGTTCAATGGTGCTGTGCCCTCCTGTATTTCATAATTTCAGACCATATTATAAAGATATAATACTCACTAATCAACATGATTATATATATATATATATATATATATATATATATATATATATATATATATATATATATATATATATATATATATATATATATATATATATAAGTTAAAAGAGTCAAACCTTAAAATAATTGCCAACAGGGGAAGCATATACTAAGAACGTATACTCGGGAGAAGGAGATAAGCCCAATATAGGCCCAGTTCCAATGAGCAAAGGCCTAATGTAAAGAGATCCTTTTCCTGGGGGAGGAATCTACACAATTAAAAGCAAAGCCAACATAAGTTCAAAAGGATGAAGAAATGAAGAAACAAAAAACAATCATTTTTATTTGGTGGGTCTAGTTTCTTTCTATAACACATATAAAGGTCAAAAGAATATGTCCCACGGGGGTGTGATGGGAAAAATATCAAGAATTATGATCATATATGGGTTTTCATCTTTATTTGTTGTTACATGATGAAAATGACAAGCTATTAAAATTTGAAAAGGATATATACCCAACGTTTGTTAGCAAAAGCTGTCTGTTTCACCGCATCTACAAATTGTTGTACAGATGGGGAGCGCATGCACATTCTCTCGGCTCCCATTTGCATACGAATCGCATTTTGATCTGGGCGAAATAAGAAAACCCGACCATTCTCTCCCCTATAAGCTTTTGTACCTTCAAAAAGTCCCTGTATAGATAAAACAATTAACCCTTGCTTTGTTAACATCATTCTTTGTTATATATACTTAGAAAATTATCAATATGGATATGACTATTTGGCATCAGACATACAATACAGTGTAGATGACATTTAGCCTTGACCTAATTTAGGTGATAAAAAAAAAAAAAAAAAAAAAAAAAAAAGTTTAATTAGTATGTACGTGTTGTACCTGGCCATAGTTCAAAACTCCAGCAGCTGGGCTTAACTCTACGTTGCCATAATCACGTAACTGGCCCTGTTGAAAACTTTCGTTTTCTTTGCATTTAGCCGTATACATGTAATCGGTTCGTGTGAGACCAAATCCGAGGTTATTCCAGTCAATATCAGCATATTCCTCGTATCTAAAACATAAATTAATACATCTGATAAGTATTGGTTAATACATTTTGAAAGAAAATAAATTATATTTATAAAGGTTAACCTGAACATAGGTTCACTTTCTCGAAGCGCAGTTGCAGCCTGTGCCGTTAAGCATCTTGCACTAACCTTCAAAATCAAAATCACACCAAGGAGACGATATATTTTAATACAAATAACACAATATTCTTGTTTCGGCTACAAAATTATATCTTTGTAACATATGGACGCTAAATGAAATTTTGCGACCTATGTTACGCCGTCGTTTTATCAAGTTCGAAAAAGTGCAATTTCTTCCTAAAACCTCCCATTGACCTGCAGCCCTAATTAATAATTAATAATACTATATATTAATTCCCAGTTGCTCTCTTCTGACTTGATCGTTTACTTTTATCCATCTAGATCATTTCCACACTCTTTTTGAATTATTATTTAATCAAACTAAATACTACCAAACTTCTAATTATTGGAAAAACAAAAACTGTTGAAATTTATCCAACGACAAATAATGAATGTAACTGGAATAATAATTACATAACATAGAGGATATCTAAAATCTAAAATCTAAAATCATATATAAAGAGATGGCTTTGGCTTTGCCGAGATGCGCAACGGCAAGATGGTGAGGCAATTCATCTCATACACGGAATTCATATATATCAAACGGCAGCTTGTTTTGTTTGTTTTGTTATAAAGGATCGTTGGTTTTGATAAGAACAGAAACCTTAATTGTCCTAAGTTTACACGAAAATCTATTAAAATGACCGCCATTAAAATAGGGAAAGAAAGAGCTTAATTGATTAAAAAAGAAACAAACACGAATTAGGACAAGACCTTTGATAAGGAAGACTGGATTAAACCGCGAAGGCGTGGGGTGTTTCTGATCATGGTAGCCGGAAATAAATAAATATGGTGAGCGGAACGGAAATTAAGAAAAGGAGGAGATATAGGAAGCGGAGAATAGGAGATTAGGAGAATAGGAGGGGGATGGAGAAGGTTTGGTTGGAAATACGTTGGGATTTATAGGGACGTGAAGGTCAGATGCAGCTCAATGTTCTGGACCAAGTTGTCATGTAGTTTCAATTTCCCTTTACCTTTTGTTGTTAGATTATTGAAAATACCATTGACAATATCAAAACATATAAACATTTTTATAAATAAAAAAGTAGACTAAAACTTGATAGCAATAAGATCCTGTATATCCTTTTCAGACGGTCGGAATTGATATATGATTATATTTTGTTTTCTGAGAGAGAACATGGTTGCTGGAGTGTGGTTTTAGCTTATTTATATGATAAAACTAGGTGTTACATCCGTATATTATACGAGTTTATTTAAAAAAATAAATAAACATAAAAGTGTAAACAGAAAATATTTTTTATTATATAATTTTAAAATAATAAAGGAAAATGTTTTTATTGCAATTTAATATCATATATAAGATATTTAATACTTTACATATATAAATATATAACTTTAATTTTAAATATTGAAGCAAACCAAAAATTGACAAGTGGATAATATTTATTTCAAAAATACCATAAAATGACAAGTGTCAAAATTCATGAGAGATTGACATATATATAAAAACATTCATTTATTAAGAATGATTTCAATATAATTTATATAATATTAAATTTTGTGTATAATGATAGGACACAAATATAGGTGTGTCGGGGTTTCCATAAATAACGAAATGCACGTGAATATTTTGACATACTCGTTAGAATAAAGATCAAAACTAAGACCTATATATGGAATCTTACATGTGTTTTTTTTTCTTATAGATTAGATGAGTGGAGGTTTCAGTGTGTGGGACTAACTCTTCAAAAGATGTATCATTCAAGGTTACAAACATAACAAATCGTATATAAAAAAATCAACACGTGTTTATATCATTCACATTTGATATATATATATATATATATATATATATATATATATATATATATATATATATATATATATATATATGTGTGTGTGTGTGTGTGTCAGAAAAAAGGGGATGAATAGATTGTTTGGATTCTCTGAAAGTCGTGATTCATTATCAAATTGAAGTATTTCGATGGTACGGATAGACCACTCAATTGGATGAAATTCAGATAATGAAATATGAGAATGTATATGAAAATGTTCTTCAAGATGTAACAGAAAATGATCAAAAAATGGATATATCAATCATGTCTAAAAACGGTCAGCAGACAGTTAAAAACTATCATAAAACTACCTAACTGTCATTAAACAGCTTGATCCCAGCAAGGGGCTCTGCCCCTTGGACCCCGCCAGGGGCTGCTGCCCCTAAACCCTGCTCCTAGAGGGCTGCCCCCGGACCCTCGTTCGTTTAGGGGTTTCGCCCATAAATAACAATGTACTTTAAATCTTGAAAAAACTTAAACAAGTGTGCACTCCTACACCATCCTAACTTGTTCAATATTCAACAAGATCATTTTTGGTCAACAAATTTAATCCTATTACACTTAAATAAAATTTGATGATATAAAATCACCAACAATATATATATATATATATATATATATATATATATATATATATATATATCAATTTTAGTTTGAGGGAAAAAGTGTCTTTTATAGGCATTTAACGAAACATTTTAAACAGTAACAGTAACAGGGATCTCCGATGCCAGATTTAGAAACAATAAGGACGAGCCATGTTAAAATATCAAAACTTTGACTATAAATACATATTGAAGTAAACCACAGGGTCTATAACTGTAAATTACTCTAATTCCTTATACGGGTGAAAGTCAAATGACATTATAATTTGTAGGACAAATTACACGAATGGTCCCTATGGTTTGGTGTTTGTTACGCGCCTAGTCCCTAACTCCATTTTTTAACCATGCCAATCCTTAATAATTTGGTTTAGTGCATGCCTGGTCCCTCATCTAACCTTCCGTTTGATTTTGGAGTTAAAACCCCCACGTGCCTTGCACGTTGAGGGGTATTTCCGTCATTTTACTTATTCTTCATACCGCCAGTTTAAGAAATTGGTGCGTTCAATTAAACGATCATACTCTACATTACACAATCGTATACCCAAAAAAACACACAACTATGTGCAAAATCCTTACGTGAAAACCCTAGTAGCGACGACTGCAAGAACAAAGAATTGCAATGGTTTCTTGGCGCATTCGTGGTGAAATGGCTGAAATCGACGTTGATCAAAGTTATGGTATGTTTGATTGACTTTCGTTTGAATGATATTGACTGTTAAAGGTTTAATTTTGTTAGCTAAAAACGATTCTCTACTCTACAGCTGGACATCCGACAATGTTTTCAATAAGAATGCACCATGGAGGTGAGTTTACAAGCTTTCCTGGAAGGAAGTATATTCGTGGGAAGCAAACATTTGTTGATTTACTGGACATTGATACCTTTTCCGTTAATGACATTGATGAGATGATGGAAGACCTAGGGTATGCTTCAATAGGTAAACCACTTTACTATCACTTTCAAAGGCCTTTAGGCGATTTAGATTTTGGGTTATTCGCTTTAGCTAGTGATGAAGATGTTCGTTATTTGGGGAGTTTTGTGGCTAAGCATAAGTTAATTGAGGTATATATAGAGCATGACAAAACTACTCTGCACACCTATTTAATGTCCCCAACCCACAGTAAAGTTCGTATAACGGAGATTACTGAACCTCCATCTTGTTCAAAGAGACTGTTCCTGGAGTGGCATAGCACACCTGCTGTTGACTTGGAGGATGACATGGATCACATGGAGAAAGAATCGGGTAATGATCCTACACCCACTGGTCATCTGGAGAAGGATTTGGGTAATGATGCTACTCTCACTGATCATATGGAGAATGATTTGGGTAATGATGCTACTCTCACTGATCATATGGAGAATGACTTGGTTAATGATGCTAATGACTTTGGTAAGTTTGGTGAGTTAGAGAGTGACAATGATGAAAGTGATGATAGTGATTTTTTTGTGGACATTGAAAATATATTGGATGATATTAATGTGGATATGCAAGATTTTGAAATGAATATCGACAAAGATGTGGAATGGGTTGGAGGGTCGTCTAACACTGTGTTGATGAAGGCACACAGGATGAAGCTTTAGAGGTGATTAACACTGACTTTTTAGCATCTGATTCATCATCAGATGAGGGGATTAATGGTCAAAGAAAGAAATCAATAAGAGCAATTCAAAGGGCACATGAGAATGATGAAGCACTTGTTAGTGAACCCTTCTATATTTTTCAAAAATTTGGTTCAGCAAAGGAGTTTAAGGACAAGGTAAAACTCCATGCCATAGAGACTAGAAGGGAGCTTGGCCCTTGAAAAAAATGACAAGAATAGAGTGAGATGGGTTTGTAAGGGAACAATACCAAAGCTTGGGCCTAATGTAGAAGTCAACGATGAAGAAGAAATATGTCCTTGGGTCTTATTAGCTAGTAAATGGAAAAAAGATGTCAACTGGACAGTTAAAACGTACAACAAAGTCCATAAATGTCTTCAAACTAGAACAGTAAAAGCATGTACGTATAAATTCCTCTCTTCTAAAATTGTTGAACAGGTTGAAAGTAACCCTACTATTCCAATTAGGGCTTTGCAAGAACAGCTACAACGGAGGTTTAAGGTAGATCTTTCTAGGATGAAAACATTTAGGGCAAAATCTGAGGCTCTAAACCTTGTGCAAGGAGATTTCGTTACTCAGTATAGTTTACTCAGAGATTACATTGTTGAGTTACAAACTCGTAACCCAGATACGACTGTTAGGGTTGATGTTGAAAGCGAAGGAAATCCACACAGTGAAACGAGGACATTCAGACGCATTTACATATGCTTGGGAGCTTTAAAGAAAGGCTTCGCAGCTGGAAAGAGGGATTTTCTTGGCTTTGATGGTGCTTTCATGAAGGGTCCATTTCCAGGACAAATTCTTTCAGCCGTGGTAAGTTTTAGTTATGGTTCTTTTACTTATTGTTATACATAAAAATAAGTAAAAATCTATTCATGATTGTTATTTATCATAAAATGCAGGGACTAGATGGTAATAATGGCACATATCCATTGGCATATGCGGTGGTTGAAACAGAGAACATCAGTTCATGGACTTGGTTTTTGAGTTGTCTTGGGGAGGATCTTGGCTTGAATACTAATTCTAATTTCACTTTTATAACAGACAGACAAAAGGTACTAAAATCATAGATTTTTTTTACTTTATTTCTAAATTGTTTACTAACAAAATCTATGTATGATTGTTAGGGTATTCTAAATGCAATTGCAACCTTGTTTCCTTGTGCTGAAAATCGTTACTGTGTTCGTCACATTCGGGATAACATGAGGAAGCAATGGAGGGGTAAACCTTTCGAAGACCTCTTATGGACATGTGCAACTGCAACACATGTACAACAGTTTAACAAAGGCATGGAAGAGCTAAAGAAATTAAACAAGGATTGTTATGAGTGGCTTAAGAAGATACCACCTCAGCACTGGTCTAGGTCCCATTTCACTGGTATAACATTTAACTCTAATAACATTCTTTATGTTTTCCTGGTTTGTGTAGTTTTTTTAATTGACTTTAAGTGATGTGATTGGACAGGGAGAGCACATTCTGATGTGATTCTTAATAACTTGTGTGAAACATTCAATGGAAAACTGAATGAGGGTCGTGATAAACCAATTATTACTTGCCTAGAGTTCATTAGGGAATATCTAATGAAGAAGATTGTGAATGTAGAAAAGGCCATTGGGAAATGTACTGGTCCTTTGACACCTACAGCTATGCAGACTTTGGAAAATATAAAAAAAAGGCAGAAGATTATAGATCTGTATTTTGTGGAAATGGTAAGTATCAGGTAAGTGGCCCTTGGATGGACCAATGCGCGGTGGATGTGGTTCAACAAACATGCTCCTGCAGGAAATGGGAACTCACTGGGATGCCATGCAAACATGTTGTTGCTACTATATGGGAGATGAGGAAGAATAGTAAGGATGTTGGAATACCAGAAACTTGGGTGCATGAGGTATATTGGCTAAAAACTTGGAAACAGATGTACTCATTCAAAATTGAGCCCATTAATGGGAGAAGCATGTGGGAAAAGTCTGTGTGTCCAACAACTTTGGTTCCTCCTAAACATCGTGTCACAATAGGTAGACCAAAGAAGAAACGCAGAAAATCAGCTTATGAAATTGATGACATGGTGAAGGGTAATAGTGCATCAAGAATCCTTCAGTCGGTTACTTGTTCAAAGTGCAACAACATTGGTCATAATGCAAGGAGTTGTAAGGGACAAAAAGCTAGTGCTCCTAGTGGTTCTGGTGGTCCTGGTGGTTCTGGTAAGGGAAAAGGAAAAGCTGGTTGAGGGAAATTGATGACATGGTCTTGATCTATTAGTGAAAGTTTATTTTGTTGGTTAATCAGTTCTTTTGGTTAAATTGTGTCTTTTTGGTAAAACTGTGTCCTTATGGTTAATACTTTTGGGTAAATTATGTTTCTTTTGGTTAACCATTTTGTTGATGTATGAAACTATTAACCATTTTGTTGATGTATGAAACTATGTTATGGAAAGTATGGAAACTAAATTACCCTTTATTAAATCCCACTTGTGCTATTGGTTGTTTATGTCGATTGTTAGCATATGTTATTGGTTGTTTTTGTCAATTGTTAGTGTTTACTTTTCCAAATAAGTTCCAGAAACACTTGATGAAAATACATGGCTCATAGAAGTCAAAATAAGCTCCAAAAACACTTAATCAAACACTTAACCAAAATATTATCAAATTCACAAACACTTAATCAAAATACATTCCAGAAACACTTCAAAACACTTCAAATTCACATACAACAACCAACTAGATGGATCATAGAAGTCAAAATAAGTTCAAAAAAGACAAACATCATACATAGCATACTAGTTGGATCTTCTTAAGCACTACAACTTGTAAATAATGATTCCTATGAACACCCAACTTAAAATAATGATTATCTTCAGCAGCCGATTCTCAGCTTCAACTTTGTTCTTAGCCTTCAACAGCCCTGGAATTATCCTAGTACATCGTCCACATCCTTCCTCATCAACCCATCCAATAAACTTACATTTAGGTCCCTGTCAAGTTCAAATCCAACAGATTTGCGGTCATTGTCACACAAAAGCTTGAGTTAGAATCAAAACGACCTTACCTTCTTTGTGCAGCCATAAAACTTCCTTCCGGGGTTGTCGTCGGTCCATGATGTCAGTATAACACTTGGTTGCCCGCAATTACATTTCATCATTGTTGATTTTTTGTCCATTAAAGAAACGAGAGATGAAATGAGAGAACAAACGTAGAGGAAGAAAAGGGGGATGCACTGATCTAGGGTTTTTAAAGGATGAATAAGTAAAATGACGGAAATACCCCTCAACATGCAAGGCACGTGGGGGTTTTAACTCCAAAATCAAACGGAAGGTTAGATGAGGGACCAGGCGTGCACTAAACCAAACTATTAAAGATTGGCATGGTTAAAAAATGGAGTTAGGGACTAGGCGCGTAACAAACACCAAACCATAGGGACCATTCGTGTAATTTGTCCTAATTTGTAAGAGATATTCACGTTGGATCTCATGTATAATTTAATAAGGAGGCACACGTTATTTGTATCTCACGCCAATGATCATATAACGGAAATTTATAATAAAGATAAATATGTGTCGTGCTTTTTCTAAAATATAAAATTTCTTTTAAGTTATCTCTAAAAATAGCAAAATAAAAAAGGAGCCGTGCTTTTCATTTTTCAAGTTATCACAAAATGGAATCGATAAATTGTTTTTTTCTAAATGATCACGAAATGGAACCCGTAACTTTCTCCCTTGTCAATTTGTGAGGCGTGATTATAAAAATACCATATTTCAAAGAAAAAAAATATATCTAATTTTATCTACTGTTTTTTAAGATATAATCACAAAATTTGTCAAATCACCTAAATAGTTATTTTTTTATAGATGCCATATCCAAAAAAGACGTATCCCGCAAAGTAAATATCTAAAAACATCCATCTACGTCCTCATTTTATAAAAACTATGCGTATACTTACGCGTTGCGTAAAAGTAAATATTAAGATTATAATATTGACGGATCTCATAAATTTTAAAACTTTATATCCAATCTAAAAGTGAAAAACAAAATATAAAACGATTATCATAGTAGATATCAATAAGAAAATTCTCATCCAAAACTTCAACAAAATAATATAACTTTATTTTTGAAGTAAATTATATAGAAATAATCCATTAACAAACACAATGATACATATTTACATAAATACCTCAAATAAAAAGAACGTACTTATAATATAACACAAATGTTTTTTTTATTTTTTTTTATTTTTTATAATTACATGTATTGTTTTGAATCATTTTCCCATAAGCTCAGTAAGTATAAAAAAATATAACTTATGATTTTACTAGTTGTGAGACCCATCTATTATATGAGTAAATTTAAAAAACAAAGTTAAATATAAAAGTCAAAATATTTGAGAACTTTGAGTTTATAATAAAATAAAAAAAATAATGAATTATTATAACGGAAATGATTTTTATCTTTTAAACTTAAACAAATAATTTAAATAATAATAAAAAACTAATTAGCTTTAATTTTGAAATTTTTTAAATTAAAAGGTAAGTTTATTAATGAAATTGATATTCATTTATTACTATATTTATTATAACTATTACATTAAAATATTATGTTGAATTTAATAAAATAGAAAAACTCATAAAATGACATGTGGAAAAAAATTAATTCAAAATAACCACAAAATGACATTTGGCAAATTGAATGAGAGTGTGATAAGTGGCAAAAAAACCTTCATTTATTAGAGATGATGATGATTTACATAAGAGATAAATAACCGTTAAAATTTTCGTTAACATAAATAAAAGTTCAAAGTACCTTTTTAAAATTAAATATAATACATTGTAAATTATCATTTTAACAAATTTAACAAAAAAATATAAATTAAATTATAATTTATAACCAAATCTATTGATTAAAAATTAACTAATAAATATTTAAGAAATTTTAATTTAATTTTTGATATAATTAATATTCTTTTATATATATATATATATATATATATATATATATATATATATATATATATATATATATTAAGAGGAACACTTCTTGGGAATAGTTAACATGTTGGTCTTTTGGTAAAAAATGTATTGGTTTATAGGTGTGCTTACAGTTCTATGTCTTTTCTTTTTAGAGGTTATATTTTGCCACTTTGTTTATTTTAATGGATACGTGTTCTTTTCACCGCCCATCTAAATCAATAGAGATTGAATTGGTGTCGATCCGTTTATTCTCCCAACAAAAGCTCTGCTTCTCTCAAATCCTTCCATCAAAGCTGACTGCTGCACCGCTTCTCATCAAAACCGTCTATCGATTGAACATCGTCGGTCGATTCTTGCCACCAACGTCACCGATCTTTTTTCATTTCCATGTTTCCTCCACCGATTAACTCCCACCGCTTTTCCTTCGACGTTGGAATACACTTTCGTCACCAGAAAGCGCCAACCATAGATCGGAGGTTGATTATACCCTATTTGTTTTATCGATGAATGAATGCTAAAAACAACCACACACATTCACTAATAGTGTCGATTTCTCTGACAATGACGAACACCTTAGTTCACCGTCATCATTTCACTCTCAAAATTCAAGGTCTACGGTCAGCCTTAACCCTCTTTTCTTCTTCTGTCTTTTAACAGTTGACTTTCTTCCCTGAATCATGTTTTAAGTCGAATCATATACCACATGGTGACAATTTTGAGCGGATTTTACGTTAGAAATAGGTAAGTGACAAAACCTTTGTCATGGTTGATGTTTATTTGAAGTGCATAACAAGTGTTCGATGAATTGCCTCAATGAAACTAATCCACTGCATTTCTTACAGTGAGTTTTGATGCAGGCGAAGAAAAGAGGGGCATTTTGGTCTTTTAGGAATGAATCTATTTCAGTTGCTTTACTCATTAAATCTATTTTAGTTAATTTATGGCACTCTGCATGCAGTTTCATATCCGTGTACTGGAATCTGCACAAGAGAACACTGCTGCACTTTTAATGGGCCTTGAATATCTCTTGAGCATTTCTTATGTTGATGATACAAAAGTTTTCAAGGTATGACACTTATTGTTTTTGCTTTCTCTTTAAAAATGAGACAAGATAAAAATTTCTTAGAAAAGGCCTAAAATTGATTTCTCATACAAGGTTAGTAACTATTACAGTTTCTTCAAAAATTTACACTCTTTTATCCATTTATTGTTTCAGGTAATGAACTGCTTTGATTCTCCACCGAATTCGTTCATTTCGTGTTTGCTATAGTTGGAAGGTAAGCAAGACGACATCATCAAAGTTACATAGAAAGGTTCGACATTTTGTTTTTTTCTTGATGACACTGCTACCTCTCTTTTTCTTGAAGACATTGTTTGATTCTCCACCGAATTCATCAAATTTTCTTTCTTTAATCTTCAAGAAAATAGATTTTTATACAAAATTCTAATTTCGGTTATGGATAATATTATCAGTTGGAAATAATAGTTTTTTTTTTCAAAACAATCTAACGGTTTATTTCAGAAGAATCTAACAATGATACTCTTCAGGTATAAAAAAAGAGCTAGTTTTTTTTATAATTTTAATCAGTAAAATCATATTTAAACATTATCTATATCAATTTGTTTTTACGGTATTTTCTGTCTTCTCTTAACTATTACAGATTACACTCGAAGCTTAGTCCAAGCAGTTGGTGTCGGTGTTAGGAGTTTATCCTTAAATTTTATTAAAAAAAAAACTTATTTTTACTAGGCATCAAGTATGGTTAGCTTATGCTTGCATATGAATGGGACATATAGAGCTCACTGGGCTGAAAATTTGCAATTATGTAACTATTTGTTACATATAATTTATTTGCTTTCTTCTTTACTTCTGCAATTATGTAACTATTAGTTACATATAATTTATTTGCTTTCTTCTTTACTTCTGTTCTAATGCACATAACTTTTTTTTTGTTATAACCAAAACTTTTATTTGCTTTCTTCTTTCATGTTTTTGGTTTTTTCTTCTCTATCCTCTCATTGATTAGTCATTACAATTTGGTTGTAGATTTCGGTGATTTAGCTTCTGACTTTGTAATAGTGTGTATATTCTAGGCATGCAATGACACGTGGCAACAAGGGAGCAGTTGAATATGGAGTCAATGTAGATGGCTATGCATTCTCATCTTCCTCTAATGACCTTCTTGCAAATACCAAATGGAACTTGAAGGTCTCACACTTATCCTTCAATCTCTTTTCTTTCAACACTTTCATATAAATATGGTCAT